ACTTTCTCTAAATTCTGTTTTTATTTCCGGAGTTGGGTTTTTTTTTCTGTTTTCTTTTTGAATTTGTAGGTCTGATGAATTGGATCGTATTTACGATTCCAATGGAATAAATTATGACCATGGAATATTAGTGTTTAAGCCTTTTTATTATATATATATATATACACACACACACACACACACACCAATTTAAATGTCCCTTGGGAGAATGTATCTCCAACAAAAAAAAAAATAAAAACAAATATGTTGGGTATACGACAAATACACTAACAAGAAAGTTAACATTACACATGTCTGACTATTTGTCCATTGCGAGACATCTACAACAACATTCCTGGCCACATTCACAATATAAAAAATTACTAATCAACAACACAACTATCCTACACCATGAAAGCAACAAATTTAAATTATAAATACTAGAAGCAATTTAAATTAAAAAAAAATTAAAGCCAGCACTGAACAGAATCAAGTATGACGACTGTAGTAATATTGTGAAATGCTTGTAAAAGAACAGTTTTTTTCATGCTTTAATGCACACATGATCATGACATTATAACATGAAAAATATTCCATAATGGATAATTTTTTCACATTCTAATATAATGCTCAACACATTGTAAAGCGTTTTGTATTTAAAAGCATATTATGGTAACGGATAACAACATACATCTTGGTATAAATACTTATATTAATGAACAACATATAGTTTTGTACCACTTGCACCCCTGGAGATGATCTTATATATATATATATATATATATATATATATATATATATATATATATATATATATATATAACATAGTTGAGTTTTTTTATATATATATATATATATATATATTCGAACGTATGAGGGTCAAGCAGATCAGTTCCTAGGAAACCAACAGCCCGACACCAGCACATAAGATTTGATTATAGTGGTTACGGTTTCGTGCAGGACCATCCACACTTTTTGAAGGGCCGAATACAGTGACCTAATGCACTATGTGCCATAGGGTCCCCAAAAGGCCCATCGCAGGTTTTGAATTCAGAGTTGTCCTTCTCCTAGACCAGTTGCCATCCAATGCTATAGAACCCAGTCTGTCCTGCTATTTACCAATAGCTGGAGGGAGAAGACACCTTTCCCAAGGGTATTAGCACATAAGTGAATGTAATGAATTAACTGGAATTCGAACTAGAACTCGGCTCTCTGATTCCTCAATCCAAGCCGCTATCCATTACTCCACCGTGCCTTATATATATATATATATATATATAAATATAAAATAAATGTAAATTACAGATGTTTCAGATATAGGCCCACGGTTGAAGAGTTGGATCAATATTTCTAAGCTTGTAATGATATTTCAAATACGTTGAACTCTTTTCACTGCACTTAGCAGTTAGATATTAAGTGTTAGTGTTTTGTAATCCGTCACACGTACGTAATACAAATAATAACAGGAAGACTTCAATGTAAAATAATAAAGTATTTAATTACCAAAAGTGAATTAAAATACATTACTAACAAAGAAATAAAGTCAATGAAAAGGTAATTGATTATTTATCAGTTAATACACAACTGCGTAGACCTGCTAAGAAAAGTACTAATTCATCTTGAAACACGTGATACTTGACTTTAACATCTGGGTTCACACAATAGTCAACGTGTAATTGTAACCAGTATTTACCAACCATGGCACAAGGCTGATTTTTAAATGGGGTGAATTCAAGCCTGTAGGTTTGGGCAAAAATTCCCTGTGGACCCCCGTATACATGAGGTCTGATTGGTCTACCTCTCCAGACAAGACTCTGCCCGAAGGCAGAGAGTTCAACACATGATTGTACAACACATAATTGTACCCCACCTCACCCCAGTCAGTGGCATGATATCTTGATTTATAGTAAATGGAAGTCAATATTTTCATTGTCTAGAGATTAACATTCAAATTCTAGTGTCAGCAGTGACACTTTTCATTCATATATGACATAGGAGACAGCAAACTGGACAGAGGAGTTTTGATTGACACTATAAATTGAGGGACCAAAAGAAAAAAGTTTAATTGACATATTTTTTTTTAAATTTAGAGAAAATTCTAAAGAATGATTAAACTACAATGAAAAAGATGATTTATTTTTAAAGATTTTTTCTCTCCATTCATTTCAAGTATCAGAGACTGTAAACTTTGACAATATTGAATCTATAATGATCTAATTTCTCTATATGAGCATGTTAATTACATTAACATAAAAAATGGCACATTTTAGCAATATTAGTGCAATACTGTTACAAATGGTTGAAGTATGAAACAATTTCCATTCCAATTTGTGAGCCTTTTTTTTACTTAATTGACTTTTCCCCAAGTCAGTAAAGCCACTAAGGCACAAGGGGTTACTGGGTGTGACAGAATTAGAAACAGAAACATTATTAAGGAATGAGAACAAAAGAGTAATCAGGAGGAAAGTAGATAGCAATTGACATTGCATTTAAATTTTTGAAGATAAAAGTTGGCCGGAAAACATGGAGCTGGAAGAGAGTTCTACAAGTGAGAAATGTGAGAAAATAAACTTTTAGCATAGAAGTTACACTTACATCTAGCCATTTCTTGGCTAGATGTAAGCATAACTTTAAATTGGTGAGATCTCAAAGCCAGTCTAGTATGGTGCTTAAATTCAAAGTCTAGATACCATAGCAAAGAGCTCATCAGAACAATTACCATGAAAGTATTTATAGAAAACGCACAGGGAGTTAACCTTACAGTGGTGAGAAAGTGAATGAAGTTGAACTGCCAGATCAGGACCAATAATATTGATGATTCTTCTTTGGATTTTATCAAGAAGCTTTAGATAAATAGTAGGAGCACCGGACCATATGTGGCAGCAATATTCTAAGCATGGATGGATAGTAGACTTATAGATATGTCTGAAAGATTCTGGAGAGAAAAATTATCTCACACAATACAGTGAACCAACTTTCTTAGGAGCTGACCTAGCAACGGATTCAATATAATCTTTCCATTTTGTCAGCTGAGAACAATAGCCCGAGAAAACACAAAGAGTTGCTTTCCTGAAGGTTAGCATTAGCCATGCTGATAGAAGGCCACTGAATAATGGAGAGCAGTTTTGGAGGCGTTAAAATTAACAAACCATCCTTTGTCCCAGCTAACAGTAAGAGAGACAGTTTATGCGGATATCTGGGGAAGGTAATGGTTAACCCTAGACTTGAACAGGTTAAGATTGTAGTGATTGGCAGTCTGTTCTACAGAACAGTGTTTTCCCAGGAGAAGCTGCTCGAGTGGAACTTACTTCTCATCAATGGAATACAGAGGGAATGAAAATAGTTTGCTACAATGTGTGTAGCCATGAAGGTTAGAACTGGTGGAACTAACAAATGTAGTTCATCTGAGCACTTTCCATAGAAGTAACAATAGAGCAGAGAGAGATGGGTTGCAGAGTGGAAAATAATTTGGCACCCACATGGATGTGAAGATACTTTTGAACTCTATCAAGACTGGAATTTTAGGACTGGGCAGCAGCCTGTCCAAATGTGACAGCAGTAATTCATTTTTGGCCTGATCTGGCTCTTGTCAAGGTAGAGGATAGCACAAAGAGTCAGGTACTTACTGGAGTGGTACAGGGTATCGACAAGTTTTCCAGCATCTTTAGTGATGGATCATATGTACAAATTTTACTTGAGGTTTGGGTTGAGTTTGAGGTCCAATATTCACTCAAGGCACGGGACCTCCCTGAGGGAACGTCCATTCATTGTGACTGGCGGTAATTCAGGGTCCAATCAGCAATGTTTTTATTGTGAAGGATAGGCGAGTGGTTTCCTGTTACTTTCTCAGGTTTTAAATTCAGAGATGCCCTTCTAGAATGGCTAGCGACACATCTATGTTTTGTTACAAATGTTAAAAAGAAAATCATAAAAAAACTACACAGTGGGGAATACATTACATGTTGGAGAATTTCCTATCCCAGATCACTGGTTACCATTTTTAGTTCCCACCAGTCGAGATGCAAATAAGGCATCAAAACAAGAATGCATCTTTGTAGTGGGTAATTGTTTTTATCCACATGAAAAAATCTATAATAAATAATTATTGCTCTACTCTTGGTATTGAGCCCTCTTTTGATTTAATGCTGTGAACATTAGAATTTACATTATCATTACATTTGGATATATATATATATATATATATATATATATATATATATATATATATATAATATATTGTGTATATTTAGGTAGCAATTTTTCATTGATGCATGTTTCATTAAATAATATAGACAAGTTTTGTCTATTTTAAGTAAGTTCTTTTTATATTGTCTGAAAAGAAACTTAAAATAAATAGACAAAATTTGTCTATTATTTAATGAAACATGCATCAAAATATATATATATATATATATATATTGTCATATGCCCTACTTGACGAATAATTTATAACGCAATCATACGCCAACCAGGAGATATATACGTTATCACATCTATGGAGAGATATGGGCTATCTCTCCCAGATCATGACAAATGGACAATTAGTAAACAAAATATTTTAAAGAACACTGTTCGATTGAGATAATCAAACAGTAGTCTTTTCCCAGGTTCACTTCGGTTTCAACACATATACCGATCTACAATTCAAGGATGAACGATGAGGTGTAATAAATTTTGGTATAAGAATTTTAATATATATATATACACAAGATATTACAATAAAAGAAAAATATAAGCATGAGTAAAGCATCTGACAACCAGAACCTCAAGACTTATGTTGGGATACCAAAATATACCCAAATCCAAGTGGATTTGACTGAACCCGAACGGATGAAAAAAATAAGTATGAATAACTACGAATGCAGAAATCAACGCATAACCAAAAAAAAAAGAGATGGGATAGGATTTATATATTACTATTTTGACATGTGGAAAAGTTTGTGAGAACATAAAATTTATGGATGCATGTGTGTCTTTCTAACATGGGTCCAAAATATATAGTGACTTATCTTTATATTCAGTTCTCTCTCTTACTCATTGTCTTTTCTTTTCTCTCTCACGTTTCCTCTTTTCTTTCTTTCTTTTCTTTACACAAATTCAATTTCAAACACGGCCCGGCTGCAACAGAGATATATACTTTCTTCTCTCTTGATTTCTCTTTTCTTTCTTCAAACACAGGCTGTATTCTCAACTTGCAAATTTCCTTGCGTCTTCTGTGATAAATAACTATTTATCTTCTTTAATCTGGAGTTGACGAACAGAAATATACATCCTTATATTTCTTATCCAGAGTTGCTTATGATGAATCGGACAAGTTCCATCATTACCAAAATGAGTCTCATCTTTTCGTTCATAAGTTATCAGCGCTTTGATTTCGAGTCTTGCTCCTTCAAAGACGAGACAGCAACTGACTTCCAAGTAATTTTCTAATTCTCACGTGTCCTGCATTTTGGTGCGAATTCCAGTTCCTGCTGCTTCACGACCTTACGTCAGTTCCCTGCCTAAATTCTGTCGCTACGGGTAACTGGGTCAGTCAACCTCTTGACCTGCTTCCCCAAAATGACTCGAGACTCCCACGTGACCTCTTCTGTTGTCAAGCGGAGATTAACCTTAATATATGCGTGTATGGGCTATCTGCATTCGTAACAATATATATATATATATATATATATATATATATATATATATATATATATATATATATATATATATATAATATTTAAATAAAAACAAAGAACAGTAAGATATGTAATCTGATGTTCTTATTGATATTTTTATTTTTTACAAAATAGTGCTCAATGTAAATTTACAGAACATTAATATTATAAATTAACTGATTTAAAATATGGTTTTTTTCACTACACAGTAATAACCATGTTTCAAAAATGGAATCTAAAAACTTTAAATTTAATTTTGTAATTAAATTAAAATCATTAGTTCCATTTCATCCTCAAGCAAATTTTGGAGTAATTTATTTTTTTTAATTTACTGAGTTTTAACTGCAAGGGAAATTCATAATTTACGGTTACCAAGGATACAGAGAAATCCAATCATTCAGACAAGGGGGTGGTAGTGTGTTCAGTCTTATTAACTTTTGTTGTATCAGTTATCAGTTACGTTCAAAAAAGGGTGTAGGTATGGGTGGGGATGTATTTTTCAACGAATTCTGACATCCATTAAATTCATGTCGTCTGGGTTTTTTGGGGGTTTTTTAAAAATTTTATTGTTAATGGCAAAAATTCTTATGGCATTTTTTTCTATTTGTATACTTAAAGATTTTGGCGGGGGGGATGTTCAGGTTAGAATACGTTTTATTTAACTACTATTTTAAAATATTTTTCCTTTTAATTTTTAATAGTTTCTTTTTAAAACAAGTAAATGTAATAGAATTACTTCCAGTATATAAAATTATTTTTCCATATCAAATATAAGTATGTATATTACCAGGTCACATTTTTTTTAAGATTTTATTTTTCAAAATATTATTTAAGGAAAATCTTTTGACAATGATGGAAAAAAATAGCTATTTCATTTCTCTGATTCAGTAAATTTTTATATTTTATATATAAACCTAGTAATATATAGTTTCTCATATATGCACAAAGGACATGGGTCATTTATTGGTTTATATATTTTAGCTTTTCTTAGTTTCTATTTTACTTTAGGTGTTTTGTTGGATTCTTTTTAGTGTCAGAAGTACTTTGAGAGATATGTTTAGGTTAGAATTCATTTTATTTTATTTAACTACAATTTTAAAGGATGTTTACGTTAGAATACGTTTTATTGTACTCCAATTTTAAAATATTTTCACTGTTAATTTCAATAGAGTATATTTCTTTTTAAAATAAGTATATGTAATAGAATTACTTATATTATATAAAATTAATTTTTAATATCAAATATAAGTCTGTATATTACCAGGTCGGATTTTTTAATATTTTTTTTTAAAATATCATTTAAGGCAAATTTTTGACAATGACTGCAAAAAATAGCTATTTCATTTCTCTGATTCAGTAAATTTTTATTTTTTATAAACTTAGTAATATATAGTTTCTCATGTATCCACAAAGGACATGGGTCATTTAATGACCTACATATTCTAGCTTTTCTTATTAACTTCCATTTTACTGTAGTTGTTTTATTGGATTCTTTCAGGTGCCAGAAGTACTTCAAGAGAGATTATTTGATTTCTATATTTATTTATCCTAAAGGAACTTTGATGTTAGTTGAAACACTTTTTGAATTCATGGCTTATGCAACCTATATAGATCTTTGTTTTCAGTATTTTCAATAGAAGAGATATTGCATTGGTATACTAATGATTCCGTGCGGCATTTATTTTGTAGAGGACAGTTGTGAGAGTTTCTACAGTTACGTAATTTTTGTTTATCTTCATCTTTTTTTATTTTTCTATTGTCAATAATTTTTTTGTTTTTGGTCTAGGTGTTTATTTAAAATATTAACATTATGTTTCTTTATAATTTTTTCTAAGTTTTTGGTACAGCTGTAACTTAATTTTAGTGTATTTTTATTGAAAATAGTACTTTATTTTCTCTAGGAAGGTGTTTTTATATATATATATATATATATATATATATATTCAAACATATGTCTCCTTTACAAGAGAAATTGTTGTTAGATACAGCATACTTATGCCCACATCACATTGAAACACCAGTTTCTGCACAGTCATTAAAGTTAAGCAACATCGGGTCTATTCAGTACCTAGATGGGTGACCACTTAGGTGCTGTGAACTTAAATGTGTGGGTAGTGTAATGGATAACTGTTCAGAATTGGGAATAAGAGTTAAATTCCAATTCCTGGTGTATTCGTTATATTCACTTACATACAGATATCCTTGGGAAAGGCATGAATCCATCTCTGCCCCATAGATATGTGTTAATTAGTAAGATTTGTGTTACTAAATTATTATCTTGAAAAAAAAAATTCTAACAATCTAAAAATATTTTTTGTCTTTAAATAATCTGCAATGGGTTAAGCTATATAAAGTGAATCAATCAATAAATCTGATGTGCCAACTAGGTCACAAAGAGTGTTACGATCAAGCAAGGCTGTATACTGCTTTTAAGCACATCTTTCTCGTTTAGATACCTGAAAGTCCATACCCATGTATACAACCCTGTTTAATTGTGACACTCTTTGTGGCCAAGTCAGTTAAACTACATTGGATCTAACGATTTCTCTTGTAAGGGGATGCAGATTCAAATCCTACCAGAGGGTGCATTTTTCTTTAAGATTTATTTGGACTGGTAGACAAAATAAAAATACTGTTAAAAAAATGTCTACAATACAGGTATCCACTAAAAATAACTTTTAAGTGAGATATCGATATGTACATGTCCTGTTCATCTGTTTTATATTTTTCTGCTGTGTCTAAATTAAATTTTAAAAATTACCTATTTTAAAATTAAATACTTAATGTTACACACACTCCTATATGCTTCTATCAAAGAGTTAATGTTAGAAATTGAAGAATTTTGGTGTTTAATGCTGAAAACCCCAACTGTACAAGTTAAATGCATGAAGGAATTGTCGTATGTAATAATAAAATACTGTTTTGTAAAACTTCATCTTTTAGTTTTTCTTTTTGTAATAATTTTATATTTTAAAGAGTTTACTTTATTTTCTAGATGAACAATATCCAGCCATCGTCCCTGGTGGGGTTTACATGTCATTGTATCATAACAATGTCATTTCTGATCCCTATGCCAACTTTAATGACGTCAACTACAGATGGATTTCAAAAAAGAACTGGATATTTAAGAAACAGTTGAACAGTAAGTTTATTTTTTTTTCTTTTAAACAGCTTCATCTGCTGTTTATATATAACTCTTTTTCCCTTTCATAAAATTGAGGCCAAAATTTTACATACAGTTAAGGTCATCAACTTTGCTTTATTGAACAGGACAGTTCTTTATTTAAGATGTCTTTTGTCCTATACTTTTGGTCCTTATCTCTTTTACTGCCCTTTCTGTAACCACCCTCACCCACTCCCCCACCATCTCTCTAGAGATATATAGTATTTATTTATTTAATTTTTTTTTTTGTAAATATATATGGTATTTACTTTTTTGGTAAATATGTATGGTATTTACTTTTTTGGTAAATATGTATGGTATTTACTTTTTTGGTAAATATGTATGGTATTTACTTTTTTGGTAAATATGTATGGTATTTACTTTTTTGGTAAATATGTATGGTATTTACTTTTTTGGTAAATATGTATGGTATTTACTTTTTTGGTAAATATGTATGGTATTTACTTTTTTGGTAAATATGTATGGTATTTACTTTTTTGGTAAATATGTATGGTATTTACTTTTTTGGTAAATATGTATGGTATTTACTTTTTTGGTAAATATGTATGGTATTTACTTTTTTGAGTAAATATGTATTTTTTTTACTTTTTTTTTTTAGTAAATATGTATGGTATTTACTTTTTTTTGTAAATATGTATTGTATTTTTTTTTTAAATATGTATGGTATTTACTTTTTTTGTAAATATATATGGTTTTACTTTTTTTTGTAAATATATATGGTTTTTGTTTTTTTTTTTTTTAAATATATATGGTTTGTTTTTTATTTTTTTAGTAAATATATGGTTTTTTTTTTAAATGTTTTTTTTTTTTTTTTTTTTTTTGGTAAATATATATGGTTTGTTTTTTTACTTTTTTGTAAATATGGTTTTTGTTTTTTTTTTGTAAATATATATGGTTTGTTGTTTTTATTTGTTTTGTAAATATATATGGTTTGTTGTTTTATTTGTTTTTGTAAATATATATGGTTTGTTGTTTTACTTGTTTTTGTAAATATATATGGTTTGTTGTTTTACTTGTTTTTGTAAATATATATGGTTTGTTGTTTTATTTGTTTTTGTAAATATGTATGTTTTTTTTTTTTTTTTTTTTTGTAAATATATATGGTTTCTTTTTTTTTTTTTTTTTTTGTAAATAAATACTATTTACATTATTCGGACTATTGTCCTCATCTTTGTTGCCATATTTATTACAATGTTTCAGCTGTTATATGCTCCAGCCTTCTTTGGGTTTGTGATTTAAGGAATTTGTTCACTGATGACAACTTTGTATAAGATGTGCTTTAATATTAAATTTATATTTTGTACTGTTTGTGAATTTTCTTTTAATATTGGATTATTCTGTTTCTCTTTTCAGTCACAGATGAAATGATGGATAAACAACATCTTTTATTAGTTTGTAATGGTCTTGATACAATCGCTAAAGTATCACTTAATGGTCATGTTATTGGCAATGTATCTAACATGTTTGTCCGTTATATATTTGATATTAAAAAATATGCCAAGGTAAGATACTTGTTCTCTATTTTCTGATCATTTCAACTTGCAACTAGATTATTTTTAAAATAAGTTTTTGTTACATCCCTCTTCTAACATGACAGAATTTTAAAAATACTTAAGTGTTTTGGGGTTTTTGGGGTTTTTTTTTTATACAGAATCTGCTTGAACAATATGCTGGTTGTACAATACAATGGATTCCCCATTCACTTGGCTCAGATATGCATATAATAAAGTGGACTGAAAATGATTTTTTTTGAGCCTGAAGTGACTGGTGTTTTATGACTTGCATCTTCATAAAATCAATGTGACAACTATAAAACAACTGTCCACCAAGTAGAGAAAAAATAAAGCAATAAAAAATTTTGGTATCAAATACCAATTAACTAAAAGATAGGGAAATCTGGTTATGGGCTTATAACGTTCAGGGTAAGATGATAAACTACATCGGCATCATGAGTAAGATGATAATCTACATCGAAGGCCTCTGGTCAGGAGGTTTTGAGGAGTGTGGAACCATTTCTTAATTGCTGGTGTTCCCCAGTCCACCCTGATCCAGGGTGGTAGGACTGGTTACGGTTCCAGCTATAGGCAAATAGTTAACTCCCAAACTGGGGTTAAAACACTATGAAAGTGTAAAAATAGGTTTTAATACCAGCAGTACATTTTTGTAAAAAAATTATTACCAACAATGAATTTTTGAGGAAAAATTTTTTACCAGCAATACATTTTTGAAAAAAAAGATATTACCAGCAATAAAAATCTTGTCAGCATTAAATAATCCATTGAGGTTGATATGCTGTAAAACAAGCTAAACCATCATGGGCTTATATAGTCAGGCTGCGTTTTCAATCATGAGCCATCTATACCCCTTTGCTCATCTTTAATTGTGATAGTTACAGGTAAAGATGAGCAAAAGGGGCAGTCAAAGTTGTTACTAGCCAAAGGGAAGAAAATCTAGTCCCTATCCCCAGGTGTATCTATGAATAAAGAACTTAGTATATCAAAATCATAATTCATGTTTTCTTTTTATGTCATGTGCTGAACCTTTCCTAGATTTTTTTTTCAGCCTGACACAGGAATTTGAACCCCTAACATGATATGAAGCTGTTCAGTCAGTGAAAAACTGATTGATGACTGCAGGTGTATGTTTACTGTTGCATGAACATGATGTAACTTATCAACCAATCAGATGGTATATTACTGCATATTTGTGAACATACTCACTTGTGGAGTTGAATGTGCAGGTGGCATAATGAATAGTGGCTCAAAATGAGAAATCACATCTGAGTTCAATTAATAACAAACAATTCCATTAAAGTTTGTTACATTCATTTATGCACATACACCCTTGGGAAAAATGAATCCATCTTTTCTCCATCCAGCTATGGATTAAATGATAGAACTTGTATATCTGAAAAAATCATTGCTATTCTCAGAAAAATTGTTAATTTAATATTCACTCACCAAAAAAAAAGTATTTTTATCATCAGGAATGTTTTGGCTTTTAATAACCCACAAAGGGTTGATAAGTCATAAAAAAGAAATTGTTCAAACCTGTTATTTCATGTAGGAGTTTTTAGCAAAACATTACCTTATCCATTTACATCTGGTCTTCTACAATCCAGATTTGGCACCCAGCAAATTCTGTCAGTCACCAGTGGTGAAATTTCAGATCATACACAGTATTAAGGGGTTGGGGATGCTACATGACAGCTGATACCCATCCAAAAATGACTACTGATTTTGAAAAGTGAAAGTGACACAGGGATAAGGTGTAGGAAGTTTCAATGAGAGTATTTCAAAGACGAGGTTCCATTGTCCTAGGCAGGTTTTTTTCAACCCCCACCTCCTACCTATTTAATGACTATATACTTTTGGGACAGGCCTTGTACACTGAAATATTTAACTTTGATTACTATTATCAATCAATATTTTCCTACAATTTTTAATATTGTAAGTATTGATAAGGTTGATAAATCCAAATCTCGGAAAAAGAATAAAAATTTGTTTTCAGCAGAAATTTCATTAACCTTTTAGCACTGCATTATTCACAAAATATCACCTTGGCTTCCACTTCTTTGTTTGTTTTTTTTTTGTTTTTTTTTAAATCCCTCAACTGCAGTATCTTTGTTCTTATTTCAATCAGGTTCATCTTTGTTGTTGCTATAGCAGGACTTGACTGCACAATCCTGAAATTCAATCATACACTTAATGCTCTGAATTAACGTTTTGCTCAGCAAATAACATAATCTGCAGACTGCTAAAGGTTAATTTTTCTCGTACATTTCATAAGCTGCTACATAAAATTTGGATTAATTTAAATGCATACGCAAACTGAAATATGGACTTTTGTTGCTAATTCTTTGTGACTGAGCCTGCTTGACTTACAAATGTAACAATTCTGAAAAATGCTGAAAAGTAGATATTAGTACACTTTTATTGCAACCAACACACACTGTTCACTATATATATATATATATATACACACACACCCGCATATATTGTTCAATTTCCCAAACTTTTGGGTAATACTTCATATGTGGCAATAATTATTTCTTCAGACTGGATTCCATAAACTTTTAATTTCTTTATTCTTTAAAGATTTATGAGTAAAAAAAAGAAATCAAAGTATAATTGTAAAAACATCTTATTTAAGAAGTTCAAACAAAATCCCTAAACAATTTCAAATTTTCATATTCTGTAGGTCCATCCTTCTTCAAACCTAATGAAATAGTATAATAAGATCTTAAAAACCACATCACTTTCAACCGCAACAACTAAAATAAATATGTAACTCAAAAAGAAAATAATGACATAATCAAGATGTTGATATTCCACACTACTTCAAATAAAAAGTTAGGAAGGAAACCCCATCAATACTGGAAAGAGCAAAGACACTTAGTGGACTTGAAACCTATTCTCCTGAAAAATTGTTTTAAAACACATTGGCTCTCAACCCTCATTTTCCTTTTTGTCCCAGGCTCCCAGCCCAGGATCCCATCACTATATCTTAAAGAATCAATTCAATCTTAAGAATCAATTCAACTTTTCCTAGTCATATAACAATATGTGCTTTTATATTTTTTTCTTTTATATCTTTTCAAGAAATCAGACATTAGGAATATGTTTTTTTTTTTTTTTTTTTTTTTAAATTTATTAGGAATATGATTTCTGTTAGAATTCTTGCTTTTATTTTACTGGTTGAAGGCATTATTTTGGCTTCCTATGTAAATAAAATATACATTTCATAATATTTTGCTAATTAAATCTTCTGTTTACTCAATCTTTTAATTTACCTAAATGTGCAATACAGACCCCCCCCCAAAAAAAAAAACAAAAAAACTACAGTACAAATTCCAAAAGGAAAATAAAATAAGACAAAAAAATCCAAAATATAATTTTTGGGGGAAAAATAAAAAAATCCAAAATATAATTTTTGGGGGAAAAATAAATGTGGTTCTTGTGTACCATGATCTCCTAAGCAATCAATGATAGCATCCAACTCCCAATAATCCTCACAGAAAAGAAATTGGAAAATGACCTACCATGTTAAAATACAGATTTTATATCAGCCAATAATTGACTGTTTCAGTTAATGTGTGCGAAATGATTCCTTATAAGGAATCGGCTAATATTATCACGCTTCAGTAAACACATAGGCCTCATTGTTTTGTATGCGGACATGTTTGTCAACACCAGTTACATCCGGGTTTTTCCCGTTAACAATAGGACAGTTTGGCATGTCTACATATGGGCCACTCTGCAACTGGTTGAGATATGAGCCTTTGTAAGATTCCTTTTGGAATTTGTCTTTGACCATCCCAATACATCTTCAAATCTCGGCGTCACACTTACCATCCTCTGTCAGAACACATCCCAGGTATTTAAATTTCCACACCTGCTTGATTATAGTGTCCCCTACCTGTAAATTGCATTTCTGGTTCATCTTTTTACTGATGACCATGAATTCTTTCTTGTAGTTTATGCTTAGTCCTTTCTTCTTGCTCTCCTGTGCTACCTTCTGTAGGAGGTTTCGTAATGTCTGCTACCAGTACTTATCTGCATATCTTATGTTGTTAAGATTGTGACTGCTAATGATGAATCTTGGTAGGATTTTTAGTTCTCTCAAAATTGCCTCACTGTATAGGTTGAATAGGTCCAGTGAGAGGACACATCCTTGCCTTAAGCCCCTTTCTATTTTTGTAGATCATGGCAAATAACACAACTAATATTACAATTACCATAAATCTTGGTATGACTCATGAGGACAGGATTTATTTTATTTATTTATTTTTTTTTTTTATTGAATTGTCCTTAGAATATTTGGGACATAAAAGTTTGTCAATTTGTTTTCATTTGACAATGTATTCATCATATTTTTTAAAAATTGTAAAAAGTTTAAATGGTTATATGTTAATGTCCTTTTTATTATTTCCTGATGTAATCACAAAATGAAAACGAGATAATTAATCAAAAGATGTTGATTATTTTTTTTTTTCTTCTGTTGTTGCTCAGGCTGGTGACAATGAATTAAAAGTGTCATTTACTTCTGCTGTAACGGCTGCTAAAGCTTTGTTTGACAAATTACCTTATGAGGTTCCTCCTAGTTGTCCACCCATCAAACAAAATGGAGAATGTCATGTTAATATGTTACGGAAGATGCAGGCTTCTTTTAGCTGGGACTGGGGACCTGCATTTCCTGATCAAGGAATTTGGTAAGAATTGTTTGATTTCTTGTTTTGTTTTCTTGTTTTTTTGTTGTTGTTTATTAATTTTTGCTTATTTTTTTTTTCTTTCTTATTTATTTATTTCTTATTTATTTATTATTTTTTTTTATTTATTTATTTATTTTTTTTTTATTTATTTATTTATTTATTTTTTTTTCTTATTTATTTATTTTTTTTTTTTTTTTCTTATTTATTTATTTTTTTTTTTATTTATTTATTATTTTTTTCTTATTTATTTTATTTTTTTCTTATTTTTTTTATTTTTTTTATTTATTTTTTTTTTTTTCTTATTATTTATTTATTTTTTTTTTTTCTTATTTATTTATTTATTTTTTTTTTTTTTATTTATTTATTATTTTTTTTCTTATTTATTTATTTTTTTTTTTTTCTTATTTTTTTATATTTATTTATTTTTTTTTTTCTTATTTATTTATTATTTTTTTCTTATTTATTTATTTTTTTTTTCTTATTTATTTATTATTTTTTTTTACTTATTTATTTTTTTTCTTATTTATTTATTATTTTTTTTTCTTATTTATTATTTTTTTTTCTTATTTATTTATTTTTATTTAATCATTTCATGACAAGTAAGGCAATAATGCCACTAAGGTGCAAGGATTACTGAGAGTGGATGAGAAGACTTTGGCAAGGAGCAAGAACAATAAAAGAACAGGGTTTAGGAAGACAGAAGATTGTGATTGACATTGCATTTACATTTTTGAAGATCGCAGTTGACAGGGATACATAAAATTGGAAAAGATTTCCACTAGTGAAAAGTGTGAGAAAACTATTATAATAGAAATTATTTGCATCGAGCTATTTCAACAGTAAAATGATTAAGTGTGCCTAAATTCATGCATTCAAGACACCAAGGAGATGAGCTCATTAGAACAGCTGCCAAGAAAATATTTATAGAAAAAACAGAGGGAAGCCATGTCAGAGCAGGGGAAAAGACTGAAGACGTTTTTGAATTTCTGTATCCCCCCCAACCACTTTTTTTTTTTTTTTTTTTGTTAACAATTTGACAATCTTCCGGGTTGCTAAGCTCATTAAAGCTTTCTTTGCCAGATCACCATCACTATTTACGTTATTCAGACTATTATCCTCATCTTTGTTGCCATATTTATCACAACGTTTCGGCCGTTGTATGCTCCGGCCTTCTTCAGGTGGTTGGAATGTCAAACTGAACCCTTTATTTCACTCACTGGGGTAGACTGTTCTAGTTCCACATGCCATCTTCATGACAATTCGTTAAAGCTACAGACTTTAAAAATTTCTGATTTATTTTCTTGAAACAACTGACACTACTTCAAGCATGTAAATTCGTAAATAAATTTATCTTGTTTTTAAAATTACCTGTGTGTTTCCTCACCATTATCATCCTTCACTAATCTTCTTGGCAAAGGTAAATGAATTATTTCTTTTAACCCCAAAGATCCACACCACTATAAAGTCTTCAAATTAGAATTTTTAATACCTTGCTTTTTTTGTTGATTAGTCTTAATAGTTAAACTAAGTAACTATCAAAGGGATGTAACAGCAAACTAAAAGAAACTGGTATCAACAACACCACCAAGATAGGTGGTGTTGGTATTGGCCAATATAAAAAAAAATGAAAATACTAACCAGAGCAAATCAAAGAATAATGGTAATGTTTTACTTAAGAATTTTGGTTGGCAGATAGGTTTCATCTAATATAAAATAGACTTGAAAATGTAACCAGAAATAACCATAATTTTTTTTCTTTTCATTTTTTTTTTTTTAATATTCATGAATTAAGAAAAAAAATGAACAAATAGTGCACTTTTCCTTTTTTTTTTTTTTTTTTTTTTTTTAAAATTTTCTTTCCCTTTTTTTTAAAAAATTTTCTTTTTTTTCTAAATTTTTTACTTTTTTTTTAAATTATTTTTCCTTTTTTTTTTTTTAAAATTCTATTTCCTTTTTTTTTAAAATTCTATTTCCTTTTTTTTTAAAATTCTATTTCCTTTTTTTTAAATTCTATTTCCTTTTTTTTTAAAATTCTATTTCCTTTTTTTTATTTTTTTTTTTTAAATTCTATTTCCTTTTTTTTTAAATTCTTTTTTTTTTTTTTTTTTTTTTTTTTTTTTAAAAATTCCTTTTTTTTTTTAAAATTCCATTTTTTTTTTTAAATTCCATTTCCTTTTTTTTTTAAAATTCCATTTCCCTTTTTTTTTTAAAATTCCATTTCCTTTTTTTTTTTTAAAATTCCATTTCCTTTTTTTTTTTAAATTCCATTTCCTTTTTTTTAATTTCTTTTTCCTTTTTTAATTTCTTTTTCCTTTTTTAATTTCTTTTTCCTTTTTTAATTTCTTTTTCCTTTTTTAATTTCTTTTTCCTTTTTAATTTCTTTTTCCTTTTTTAATTTCTTTTTCCTTTTTTTTTAAGTTCTTTTTCCTTTTTTTTTTAAGTTCTTTTTCCTTTTTTTTTTAAGTTCTTTTTCCTTTTTTTTTTAAGTTCTTTTTCCTTTTTTTTTAATTTCTTTTTCTTTTTTTTTAATTTCTTTTTCTTTTTTTTTAATTTCTTTTTCCCATTTTTTTTTCTTAATTTCTTTTTCCCATTTTTTTTTCTTAATTTCTTTTTCCCATTTTTTTTTTTTCTTAATTTCTTTTTCGCATTTTTTTTTTTCTTAATTTCTTTTTCGCATTTTTTTTTTTTTCTTAATTTCTTTTTCGCATTTTTTTTTTCTTAATTTCTTTTTCGCATTTTTTTTTCTTAATTTCTTTTTCGCATTTTTTTTTTTCTTAATTTCTTTTTCGCATTTTTTTTTTTTCTTTTTCGCATTTTTTTTTTTTTTAATTTCTTTTTTCGCATTTTTTTTTTTTTTCTTTTTCGCTTTTTTTTTTTAATTTTTTTTCCATTTTTTTTTTTTTCTTAATTTCTTTTTCCCATTTTTTTTTTTTCTTAATTTCTTTTTCCCATTTTTTTTTTTTCTTAATTTCTTTTTCCCATTTTTTTTTTTTCTTAATTTCTTTTTCCATTTTTTTTTTTTCTTAATTTCTTTTTCCCATTTTTTTTTTCTTAATTTCTTTTTTTTTTTTTAAAATTCTTCCTTTCAAATATATATATATTTTTCAAACTACTAAAATTATTTTTTTCCTCTTTATTTACAGGAGAGATATTAGTATTGAATCTTTCAACAGTTCTCTCATTGAAAATGTCAAAGTAAATACTTATAAAGGTAAACACTTTTTTTTTTTATTTCTATTTTTTTTTTTTTTAATTTTCAATAATTATCAAGATTTAGAAGAAGTGAAAATATCATTTTGGACATAAATTCAAAAATCTCCAAGACAAGATTTCAAATTAAGAACTAACGATGAATTGTAAAAAGACAGCATGTCTTAATATCAGCAAGAGAAAAAGCTCAAGACGCAAGTTATGAATTTAAAATGTCAGAATTAAACAAATGCAGATGTTTAAATATCTAGAAGAAGTTTTGACAAGAAACAGAAAATGTTACATCAAAATCAGAAAGTACATTGGAAGAGCAAAAGATGCCTTCCAAAAATTAAGCAAAGTATTAAGAAACAGGAAAATCTATTTAGAAACAATGAAAAGAGTTCTCAACTGCTAATATCCATCCTCCTATATGGCAGTAAATGCTGGAAAATTTCCTCACAGATGAATAAGCGAATTGAGACAACAGAGATGTGGTTCTACACAAGAATACTGAGAATACCATGGATGGACAATGTAAGTAATGAGGAAGTTTTAAGGAAAATGGAACTAAAAAAGGGACAAATATGCATAAAACCAGTTGAAATTTCTGGTACACATAATGAGAAACAACAGTTTAGAAAATTTTACAGTCACAGGACATATTGAAGAGGAACAGATGAAAGCAGTAAGTAAGCAAGCTGATGAGTTTGTGTAAATGGACAGCAGAACAGTAGTGGGGGATTGTAAAAAGACAAATATTGCTGAGAGATACAAAAGAAATGAAGTTGTGGAGAACCATGTTCACCCATGTCACACAGCACATAAGTTGTTTTTTTTTTTTTTAATTATTTCTATACCTTAACTTCTAAAAAAAATATTTTAAATTACAAAAAGGACAAAGTTCAGTGGCTGATTGTAGAATGTGACCAAATGTGGTTTATTTTTCAACATAATCTCCCTTGTGGTCCATACACATCTTTCTTCAGTGTTGCAGTGCTTGGATCCCATTGGTGAAGAAGCTTTCATCCTGTTGGTCAAAAAACGTCATCAACAGCAGATATGATGCCATCATCACTGCAATAGCGGTTTCCAACAAAGTATTTTTTCAAGTTGGGGAACAGATGATAATCAGATGGGGCCAAATAAGAAAAATAGGGAGGGTGATGAATCAGTTTAAAACCACAGTCATACACAACAGACATTGAAACCAAGGACTTGTGTGCTGAACCATTGTCCTGATGAAATAAGACTCTTTTCATCAGTTTTCCTGGGCATTTCATCTTGATAGCCTTTCATAATTACTTCTGTTCTCCTCCCCTCTCTCTTTTAATTTTGCTTTTTTTATCTCTCATAATAATTACATAAACCAGTTTCAATTTTATTCATTGAAAGGCAAATCTCACTAAAAGAATTAAATGTCCCATTTTGTACCCACAGGTAAACATGGTGGTTGGAATTTAGAAGTGGAAGTGTTTTTTTATCCTGATTCAAAGGCACTTATCACAGGTAAATTAGCTATCCACCTTTCAGCCCTGAAGATCATGTCAACTGTCAGTCTCAACTTGCCCAAAGGTGTCTACAGCAAGTTGATTACAATCAAAGTGCCAAAAGTAAGTCTATTTTACTAATCCTTTGTTTCTTTTTGTTAATATAATAAAATCTTCTGCATTTCAAACTCCTTTCATTTGGCAGAACAATGATTGGACACTTGAGGCTTTTATTCAATTTTATCCAAAAATTTTAAAATAATCTCTGAGATTGTTTCATATGTAGATGTTGGTGATTTGGGTTCCAGTCTAGATAAAAATGGTATGTGATTGCTGATTTTTTTTTTTCGTTAAGGGGAAAAAAAGAGGCCATCCTCATTTCGAAGATTGGCATAACACCAGTCCCGTCCTGGGTATGACGATAAACTACATCCGTGTCCAGGGTAAGACGATAAACTACATCCAACAGCAAGGCCTCTGATGAGGAGTATTTGAGGAGCATGGAACCGCCTCTTAATTGCTGGTGTTCTCGGGTTCACCCTAATCCAGGGTGGTAGCACCTGTTAGGGTCCCAGCTATAGGCAAATAGTTAACTCCAAATATACATTTTTGAGGAAAAAAATATTACCAGCAATACATTTTTGAAGGAAAAATATTACCAGAAATAGATTTGACAAAACAAAATATTACCAGTAAAAAAAAAAAAAAAAAACTAGTCGCATTAAATAACCCATTGAGGTTGATATGCCATAAAACAAACCAAACCAAATAACACCAATCTTCTTCCCTCATGTCTCACTTTGTCTGGGTTTGTGCCATTCTAAGCAGATTTTTCAAGATTTTTTTCATGTCTCTTTCTCTCCTCTCTTTGCCTCTTTTTTGCTGCCTCTTTTTTGCCTCCCCCTCTCTCTCTCTCTGTCACACGCAGATGTGTCTCTACTGTGCTACTCCTTCTTTCCTTAGGTGCAATGTATGATTCATGCTTGGGTGATTGTGTCTCTTTAGGATTCATAGTTAGCTTAGCAGAAGAATTCCTTCAGTAGTTTGCCAATACTTTCTATGCTATACTAATTGCTACCTAAGGCTATAGGGCTCAATTTGTACTGCTATTTAATCCATAGCTGGGGGTGGAGAAGAGATGAATTCATGCCTTTTCCAAGGGTATTTGCACATGTGTGAATGTAACGAACCCAACTGGAAAAAAAATAGTTTTCTATGTTTAATGCTTTTCAAATCAGAATTCTTTACAGCCAAAAAAAAGCTGATTTAAAAAAAATCATATAGAATATATTATCAAAGTAATTGTAAAGTTGCCTAAATATCTTTTTTTCTTTTTTTAGCAGTATAGGTAAACAACTAATAATAATAATAATAAGGTTCACATTCCTCCCCAGTCTTTTGAACAGGAGTAGAGGTTTATCCCTTGTTTCCTGTTTAGGATTAGGTTTCCAGTTTGTTCTAAAGTTTAATTCAACTTTATACTTCTAACATCTGTGTCTACTTTTTTCTCAATAGGAGTAGATAAGTTTGCTTATCGTCCAGTTCACACTCCTCCCCTGTTTTTTAACAGGAATAAAAGTTTATTCCTTGTTTCCTGTTTAGGATTGGGTTTCTGGTTCCTTCTAAAGTTTTCTCATTCTCTTTCACTCCCAGTAACCTCTTGTGTCTTAGTGGCATTATTTATTATTTTGTAAATTGATTAACAATAGTAATAAGTAATAACAACATTAAGTAACAGTAATAACAACTATGAATAATAGTAATAACAATAAGTAATATCAACAATGAGTAATAGTAATATCAATAATAAGTAATAGTAGTGACAATAATAAGTAATAAAAATAATAGTAATAAGCAGTAGTAATAGAATTAAGTAATAATAGTAATAATAAGTAGTAGGAGTAATAAAGATTGAAAAGTATTCTCTAGGCTTGTGCTTTGTTTATTTTAGAATGAAGTTGTAAAACAATGGTGGCCAAATGGCTATGGAGATCCTTACCTGTACCCCCTGGATTTGATCTTTACCTCAGCTGATGGCCAGGAACTTTCAGCAAAGCAGATTCGTATTGGATTCCGTACTGTGAAATTGGTCCAAAAACAAGTCACTGCTAAACCTGCCGATGGTAAGCAATGAAAACTAATTTTTATGTTTCAAGAAATTAATTTTCCAATATAAAGATGAGTAAAAAAAAAAAAAAAAATTTTTTTTTTTTTGTCCCCCCTTTCCTTTTATTTTTCTTCATCATCATTTTGATGACTGGGTGTGATTGAAAGGTCACTGTACAATTTAGCACCTGTCCAGTTCCCTCTATGTATCATGGTTGAAAGTTGGAGAAGTATTCATTTATGTGTAGTATGCCTTGGTCAAGTAGACTTAGAAAAGCTCATCCCATCGCCAATTCTAACCACAACCTATCTAGACTCAGCTTGATGTGGTGTCATTGATCGGGAAATTACTCTGGCCTGGTCATTGACTTCAGTCAAGGAAACCCTCTGCCTTGTGATGTTGTGTCATTACCCCACTAGCTGCATATTGAGCTATGGAGTCTAATCTAATTGTAGTATATGGCCATTGACTTCATTCTAGGAAGCCCTGCACCCAATGATGTTGTGTCAGTCTCATTGACCTACATATTTATACTTACAAAAATCTTTTGTAATTTTATTGAAAAATTTTTTCCAATTATACTGCAAAATGTTTCAGCAAAATATACTGTTTTTATTATACTGCAAAAATTGGACGGAAAATAGAACACTTTAAATATTATTTTATTTTTCGACCAGAACTCGTGTGTTGGGAAAATTTGTAAATGAAGATAATGGTCATTTTGTGACGGGGTTTTGTCCCGTTCACATCCGGCTCTCGCTCTTGAGTATTTGCCTGTAAATCAGCCGAGATATGTCTTATTTTATTTTATAACAGCTGTAACTGATGAGGCAGTCTAAGTCTTGTCTCTTCTATAAAAACTATCACATGACATCTTTCTTAATCTTTGACATGTGCATAAATTACAGCTGTGTCAGGGGAAGACAACCATGTTATTTTAATGTCATGTGACTTTGTACTTTCTCTAAATTTTCATTTTATTTGCTTCACTAATTGTTGAAGTGATATAAAATATCATTTTTATATCATTTTATATCATTTAATTTTTTTTTTTCTTTTTCAGGATTATCCTTTTATTTTAAAGTCAATGGTGTCCCGATCTTCTTCAAAGGCTCCAATTGGATTCCTGCTGATAGTTTCCAAGAACGTGTTACAGAAGCCCGTATACGGAATCTTCTTCAATCTACCGTTGATGCCAAACAGAATTCAATCCGTATCTGGGGTGGCGGAGTGAGTTGTTTTTGTTTTTTTGTTTTTTTTTGTCTACTTTCTCACCTCTTCTTCTGTCAGTAACTTTTTGTTTTTCGTTATCATTCAAATATTTTTTGTTTTTTCAAAGACAACACAATTTAAAAGTTTTTAATACTATGACAGTACCAAAAGATTTTTATGCTCATTTTAAATGTGTATATGTGTCACAGGATAGCTACTGAATGGTTCATTGGTCTTGAGATGGCCAGCTAACAGTTTGTTGGTCTTGAAATCGCCACCGAACGGTTCGTGGAACTCGAGATCTCCACCGAACGGTTCGTGGAACTCGAGATCTCCACCAAACGGTTTGTGGAACTTGAGGCCACCATGGGCAGCAAGGTTGAAGATAAGGACACAGACTAAGTGCAAACCAACCCTAAAGAGCCCCAACAGTGTAACAAGCAGACGATTACAACAAATTTCAATGGTTGAACCAGCAGATGAAGACAGCTATGCATGAAATTATAATAGTCAACAGCAGTTTGTTGCAGCTTCAAAACTGAATTCTGTGTCTCATTTCAAATGTACTGCAGAGGAAGGTCATGGAATCAAGTGTGTGGGTCACTTCTTGGCAAGTTGAAGTCCACCTTAGACAAATTCATGCCATCAGCACTTTCTTTCACCTCCAACCAACTCTTGGAAAGCCAAACGATGATAGGGAATGGATGACAATAGCAGATTTTGGTGTAACTGGAAGCTTCTAGTCCTGAACTTGCACTTTGACAGTAAATTTAGTCATCAACATCATAAATGAAGTGCGTCCTTGGTATGACGATAAACTACATCTGCATCCTGGGTAAGATGGTAAACTACGTCCAACAGCAAGGCTTCTGATCAGGAGGCTTTGAGGAGCGTGGAACCACCTCTTAATTGCTGGCGTTCCCAAGTCCACTCTGACCAAGGGCGGTAGCACTTGTTAGGGTCCCAGCTATGGGTAAATAATTAACCCCGAAACTGAGGTAAAAAGCATTATAAAAGTGTAAAAATAGGTTTTAATACCAGAAATACTTTGTAAAAAAATTATTACCAGAAATAAATTTTTGAAGAAGAAAAATACTATTACCAGCTATACGTTTTTGAAAAAAAATAATGTTACCAGCTATACGTTTTTGAGGAAAAAATATTAACAGAAATAGATTTTTGACAAAACAAAAATATTACCAGAAAAAAAAAAGTTGCCGGTATTAAATAACCCATTGAGGTTGATATGCCATAAAACAAACCAAACCATAAATAAAGCAATCAGTAAAGAAGAAATTAAATTCTTTGATACTAAATAAAGCCGATGATGATATGATGTTGAGAATTAAGCCGATTGTTACTTGAAGAACATTTACAGCTTTTAATACTTTGTTTTCAAAATCAAATATATTATCAAAAGTTAAATGAAATATATATTAAGTATATCTAATTGAATCATTTAAACACAACCATATGGCTTGGATTCAGCTAAAGCTGTTTCAAAATAATTTCTGTCATCCCTTACAAGGCATGGTAGAGTGCTACAGAAATAAGTTTCCAGGTATAGATCATGTTTGGGATGTAGTATGTGATTCATGTCAGGAAATAACAGATAATTTGAATCTTATTTAATGTCCATCAGTAATATTGATCTAAGAAGAGTTGATCTGTGGTGACCTAAATATGTACTGAGTTCACCCTAAGAGACACCAAAATAAGTTTTCTACTCACTCTCACCTTAGAGCAGTGATTCCCAAATGGTGTGGTGTGCCTCATAGGTGTGTCAGAAGAGGATAGCAGGTTGGGCAGAATGATTGAAAAACAATCAAATATTTAGAAACAGTTTTAAAAAATTCATATGCCAAGAATAAATATGATTTCAAAATTTAAAATATTATGGATTACTTTGAATCCCAGTATAAATAGTTATAAATAATTATTGACTGATTTTATCATTGTGATATTTTTGCATTATATCAAGTATTAAGAATATAGTAACTAGTGTCCACAAATTGGAGGAGAGAGTTATCAATGATAATGTTCTGACTTTGAATCCGTGGTTATCTCCCTTTATCTCTGTTTTTTTATTTTTAAATGTACTTTTTATCACATACAATTTTGTGATGTGTGAGCAAATCTTCATTCCAAAAATGCTGCCCAAAGAAAAAAAAAGTTTACGAACCACTGCCTTAGAATATCAAAAGTCTGACTTGCCTCAAGGACTGACCTCAAAGCCACAAATCACAGGAGTAGGCCTCAAAAGATATTGGTGGGTATACCAACATAAACAAGAAGTAAACCTAATTGAATTCAGGATATAGACATGACAACCAGATGATGGGAAGATATATAAATTCTTGGCATACAAGAGAAGGTAGAATCCCTCATTTTTGCTAGATCAAATATTTGAAGAAAGACCCAAAACTACATACCTTCAATTTAGCTGATGTTAATTTGATGGAGGCTAGAAGTGGATAAATAATTATTTTACATGTAAATTCCTAGGTCGATATTGCAATTAGTTTTCATTGCTTTGTCCTATTTTTAATTTGTACAATAAAAATCTTGTTTTGTAATTTCTTTCCATTTCCCAAATTCTTTGATGTCCAGTTTAAAACAATGCCTTAAAATTGACAGAATCTTAGTATTTGTCTCTGGTATTATATCACCTGAAACAAAAGGTACATTTGAATTTTACTGATAACGAAATATGTATGTATGTATTGATCTCAAATCAACCAATAGCCACTGGTGACCCTTTCAGAAAAATCTTGTAAAATTCACTTGTGTTACTTCAAAGTTATTACTAAATCCCAAATAATAGGTCTGTACTGGGAAGTATTTTAACGGATAAAGTGTGAGACTGAAATCTGAAGGCACATTGGGATAGCAAAAGATGCCTTCCAAAAGGTAAGCAAACTATTATGAAACAGATTTCATTAGAAACAAAGAAAAAGATTACTGAAGTGTTATGTAATATCAGTTTTCCTATAAGGCAGTAAGTGCTGGACAATCTCTTCACAGACGAAAAAGAGATTTGAAGAAATATGGTTCTCCAGAAGAATGCTAAGAACACCATGGACCAAATATAATATAAACAAAAAGGACACTTACTATCAGGAAGAGATAGTTGAAATTTCTAGAACACATAATGAGGAAAGAGGACTTAGAAAATTTGATACTCACAGGACAGATTGAAAGCAACAAAGAAAAACACACTTAACATACTTAGTAAGCTTAAGTAAATGGATAGTGGAATAAGGTCGAGGTGAGATAACAAAAAGACAAAATTTATTAAGAGCTCCAAAGGAACTTGTGGAGAGCCATGATTTCCAACGTCATGAAAGGACATGGCATATAGATCTTTTTAATAATTTTAAAATCAGAGCATCTTGAAATTTCAATCCATTTTTTTTTTTTTTTTTGTAACACTTTCAACAAACTTCTAACTTTCATTGCTCCAAGGATATTGTATGTACAGATTTGAAACATGGCGACAATAGTTAATATTTACTGTAGATTAGATAAAAATATAAACTGCTTAGGTGTGTCTTATGTATTTCTATTTTTTATAAGGACTTGAAAATGGTCGAAAGGCAAAAAGATGGCTGCTGTATTTGACATACGTTGTCAAGAAGATCTCAAAATGGACAGTGTCTTTTTGCATTTTGGCATCTCACAGATGCTGTTTGGTCTCACCGAGAAAAAGATAGAGGAGGTGATAATACTCTCATATGTTTAGCATCTGCTTTAATGAAATGGAAAATTTTACCACTTTTGAATCTTTTCATTTGTACCCTCTTACTTCTTTAAATAATGCCCTACCTCCATAGTTATGAATATTACAATATTTTAAAGTTTTTAAGCTCAAATATTTAACAGTGCAACAAATGAATTTTCACAAGTATTTTACAGTCTTCAAACTTACAAGGAGCTTATTTAGTCATTAAATTAAGTCTGAAAATTCAAATAGTAGGACTATAAAATTTTAATGGTTTCAACTAGTATATTATTATAATAATAATAAAAAGGTGTCACAGAAGAAGTAAGAATTAAACAGTCTTTGGAGTAAAGGTAAATTTAGTAAATGTTTAAATATTTTTCTTTTTAAAAATATTTTTTTTTCATTCTTCACTTGTCTTTTCCAGGTTTATGAAAGTGATAAATTTTATGAAGTTGCTGACGAACTGGGTATCATGATTTGGCATGACTTCATGTTTGCTGTGGCTCTTTACCCAACAACACAAGATTTCTTGAATTCAGTCAAGGAAGAAATAACATACCAAGTTAGTTTAATGACAATTTATCCAAATTAAATTTGTTTAAATGTTTGCTTCTTCTTTTGCTAAATCTGTCTTTTTATGAATTATTGGTTTCACTTACATCTTTATTCTTCATTCACTCTCATGTTTATGCAAGATGTTTAGGGATTATTGCTGGAGATTAAGTGATAGAAAATCCCTGTGATAGGGGAGGACAATAAAAAAGCAGGTTTCAAGGAGACAACATGAAAGTTGATATTGCATTTAACTGTTATTGCTCTGTTTGTGATTTCTTACCACTGAAGACAAACAATAGTGTTTGAATTTCATAGTTGTGTGTCATATCCCGCTTTGGCAACAGAAAACAAGTTTGAGTGAAATTTACAATAAGGTTCCCGCAATTGAGAGGCCTTGAAAAAAGAATGCAGTGGAAAGGGAAGTGATATTAATAATGCAGAGGACTAAAAGGACGAATGGAAAAAATGCTCAGCCGATAAAAGCAGTTGGTCTTCTCGAGTTGGGGAGAAGAAAAAAATTGGTATATTTTTGGCTTCCGCATTTGTCGGAGTGTGAAATTTTTCTGACTGGTTACGTGCATTGTGAGTTGTGAGAAAGTACCTGCGAATCATGTTTTCGGCATTTCTTTCTGTCCCCGATATTTGAGTCTGAACCTACAGTGATTTATTCTCTGCATTGTGGAAGTAATCTGGGACAAATATTTCCTTTGCAATCCCAGAACGCCTACAAGAAAATTCCAGATAAGTGCGAAAGAAGAAAATATTAGAATAGAACTTTTACACCTACATGATGACACCTGGCTACCAATCTAGAACTAAAATTAAATTCATGAAATAAAGGTAGCAAAGAGAAAAGCTCATTAGAACAATTATGATGAAAATATTTATAGAAAAGGCACAAGGAAGCTATGTTACTGCAATTGGAAAGTGATTGAAGCTGAGATGCCAGGTTAGGACTGTTAACTTCACCGATTTTCTCAAGTTTCTTCAGATATATAGCAAGAGGACTAGACCAGATGCATGGACAGATGGTAGACTTTATAAGTCTATCATTCAACCAATGTGTTGAATATTGTTGCAAGAGAGATGATAGAAAAATTATTTAGCACGACACTGTGAACAAACTTTCTTAGCAGTTGACTTGATTTAATCATTTCAGTTCATATCAGTGGAAAATGTTTAAATGATTTTTAATATTTATAGTATATAAATTTGTCCCATGCAATAATATTACAGTAGAATCCCTGACAACCAGACTAAGAAAGCCCTCCGGATATAAGGAATTGGTTGCAAAGTTCAAATATGAGGGGTTATATTTAGGTTAAAATAAAAGAACTGAAATTAGGTTTAACATTTATTTTCAATGTTTTATAGTAAACAAAATAAGCTAATGGTGAGTGAAATATAATGGAATTGATTTTAAGGAAAAAGAAATAAATTATGTAATGTTAATAAAAATTCATTAAGTATGTCACATATGTAAAACAATGTAACAACAATTTTTTAATCGCTGTTGCATGATGATTCTTTCTCTTCTAATGTCATTATATAATGTTATTGGAATTTTTAACTGAACCCTTTATTTTGTCCACCGTCGCTTATTTTCATCAAATGTTGTAAATATAGCAATGAAGATGAGGATAACAGCCCAAATAATGTAAATAATACAAGTAATCATAATACCTCATCACAGAGATATAGACAGATATTGAGTCCTATATTCATTAAGGAAAACCCTTTATAGAATGAATTACAATCACTTTCAAAGAATTAAAAATAAGATGTGCAAAAGTAAGTGAACCCTTACATTTGCTCTCTGTATTTTTGTCTTACATTGTTGCCAGTGCAAATAATTTTTGCACACATGTAAATATCAAAATGATGTGTTCATTTTTCTTTTTTTTTTTTTTTTGGTAAGCTGTGTATACTGCAGTATGAATATAACTCATTGTGTATGCAAAAGACTGTAATTAAAAATCGGGATTTTTTTTTTTTTTTTTTTTCCTGGATTATTCATATGGCACTGTTTGGGAACAGTTATGTGACACTTAGAACATCATCACTGCTAATTCTGTCTTCTCTCGGAAATGATTAATGGACCAGATCTTCCTTTTGGCTAACAAGAACTCAATCTCTGACTCTACAACTTTTCCTTCTTTCACTATGCTCATGACTGGCCATTATGTTGAATGCAGCTGTGACCAGAATTCCCTGACTTCCTGCTGAGTGTCACTTAATCCTGAAAGATCTTATTATTTTATCTTATCTTATTTTATTTCCTTTTACCTATGGATCCCATTATCCATAGGTAAAAGGAAATAAAATCACTTTGAAACTTTCACATCACAATTTTTCTGGTGACACAATGGATAGTCATAAAACGCCTAGTCACTCCAGATTCAAATAAAATCATTTACAGTCCATTTTACTACATCAGCATCCTAACTAGTTGAGTGGGGCACCATTGTGTCACATGCAAATTAGAAATCAGTGAATTTAAATTGGAATAGGGTGCCCTGTATTTCTAGCAAACTTAACTTTGTTTCTGAACATTTGCATATAGGTTCCATATTGAAAGGGTTTATCTTTTTTAAAACTGAATTAAAATTTAAAAAAAAAAATAGGGATGGACATCAAAAACAAATTTATAAAGCTATGCTGAAAAGATTTCTACTCGACCCACTTCCCAAAATCAGAATTTTAGTCAGTAGGGCTTCTTGGTCAGATAAAAAACTTTTCGGCAACACTTTATACATCAGAATTTTCTGCTAAAAACTGTTACTTTTTTTTTCATTTTTTCAGGTTCGCAGATTGATGTACCATCCCTCAATTGTTATCTGGGCAGGTAACAATGAAAATGAATTGGCTCTGAGAAGCAACTGGTAATTTTAAAGCCATTATCAATCCAATAGTTGTTTGGACAATAGAACATGTTGTTATCACAGTGGGCAAATGTATAAGTTAGGATGGATTTTATTGTCCAATTAAGGCAGAATTGAAGAGCAGCACTTTATTATAAGAAAAAATGGAATCCCCTGAGTTATTTGGGTTGCTAAAATTTTCCTGCTGTGTCTTGCCTTGTTGAGAATGAGCTGAGCCAGTTGGCATTTTTTAGTCACCACTTCTGTTCTGCTTAATGTTTTTTATGGAAAAGAGATCACCCCCCCCTTTACTTATGGATTGATTGGAAGGCTGTAGGACGAATTTGCTAAAACATTGTAACAAAAGGTATGTAAAGAATGTGTTCAATAGGCTGAATAACTCTGGAATTTCTTTAAGTGATATTCCTTCTGGATTTCTTAAGTGACATTTCCAAGAGAATTATTCTGCAATAATTTGGATTATAGCAGAACTTTCCAAATTGGTGTGTTGTAGTACTTTAGTGTAATTACTTATTAAAATTTTTTAATTATGAACTAAATTGAATGTTATATACCTTTGGAATGGTATATTTGTCTTCTCTAAAAAAAAAGTGATATATCAAAAAGTCTTGTCACTAATGCAAAAATGTTTGAAAAGCACTGTTTTGCATATTAAATGGATTTCTCTCTTGTGAGTGATATGGAATTATCAAGTCTTAAGCTCAATGAAAAAGGAGTTATCTGCTTAGTTTAAAATTGATTTTGTTGCTTATTTTCTATTCTGACATTCAGTTGTACTATATATATATATATAATATATAAGGATGAACTCTGCGGTAAGGGCACAAGGGTCATAATTTTCAAGATGAAAAATGATTTAATTCAAGATGTTTGTTCAGTGTTCTAGCCATTTTGATTTGAATTGGTAATCTTTCTCAGCTGAAAATGAATTTTTGCCAACTCTGAGGGGGCGAAAAAACACAAAGCAAAGATTTGAAGAGACCAAAGATTTTTATTTGAAACATCAGTCGATAAACATGTCGGTGATGTTGCTTATTTGAATAAACAAAGAACATAAAACATAACAATATGACAAAACTAGTTTTAAAAAAATGATTACTAAAGAAAACTTATTTTTAAAATGGTTTCCTTTTTTCAGGTTTCTCACTTCTCTGAATTTTGCTCGATACAAGGCTGATTATGTGAAACTCTATGTTGACACAATAATGCCAATTGTGAAGAAAGAGGACCCATGCCGACCATACGTAACATCAAGTCCTTCAAATGGCATCCAAACGAAAAAAGAAGATTGGGTGGCTTTGAACCCTGGTGACCTCAGATTTGGAGATAGTAATCATTTCTTTATATCTTATATATTTCTTCAAGTATAGGGTGCCCCCACTAAAAACAGAAAATTTGTTAAAGTTTATTTAATTGCTAGAATTTTTGTTATTTGAAACAAAAGCAAAGGATAGAAATTTAGTAGCTTAAAACAGAACAAAAACACAAATGTGGTGTTCAAACTAAAAAAAAAACAAAGTTAATTTTTTTTTTTTTTTTTAATATCTTAATTTTTTTTTTTTATATATTAATTTTTTTTTTTTTAATATGTTAATTTTTTTTTTATGTTAATTTTTTTTCATCATATAGTAACTCTAAAATTTCCTTTTTTGTGGGGGCACTCTGTATAACAAAACTTCTCTTATTTTTATGTAATTTCAAACTGAAAATGCATACAAGATTAAGATATTGTTTTTTGAGTGGGTGTTGAAGATTTGTGATGTTAGTGTTGGGATATCCTTGGCATTTATTTTATCAGAACTATGGAAATAAAATAAAACTGGATGAAGGTATAATCAAATATATTTTTTTAATTATTTACTTTAGAGTGAGTACTTTGAAATTCAGTGTAGCAAAATGTTCATTTATAAGGGTGGATATTGGTAGCAGTCTGGAGAAATTTCGGTTTTGGCTTGGTAGTGTATAGTTTTGAAGTCAGACCTTGTCCATTATTAGCAGTCATCTTAGAAATAGGTCAGTGTCAATTTACTGTATTTTTCTTGGCCCTAAGAAGGGCAAAAATATCATTAGCAGATGACCTCTTAACTACTTCACACATGGCTGATGTCTCTTTTGTTCCATGGTTTCTTTTGCTATCATTCCACTCATCTTACCCAGATCAGTCAGCTTATATCCTTTTGACCAGGCTCCCAGACTCTGGCACAAACATTGGTTTCTACTAACATCAAAAGTCTCATTGTGTTAATTTTTTTGATTGGTCAAAATGATTTTATTTTCCAGTGTTTCTTTCTTTTTCAGATAACGGAAGTTGTGTGTGGAGCCTATATTATTTTGTTAGATTTATAGTCATAAATAAGTAGGCTCTGGTTCCACAAACTTTTGGTGTTTCTTGGCTGGGTTCAGTCTTTTCTTCTTCTTCCTCTTTTTATTTGCCTTGTTAGTTGAGAGAGAAGTTTATAGAGAAAGAGATAAGGGTTTTAAAGGAAAGCACAAATGCCTTATTTTAATTTGAATTCTTCTTATATTTGTTTACAGATTCAGTTTATAATTTTGAGAAGTTCTTATCATTCCAAGTGTTGTTTAGACTTTACAATTCCTTGTTTTTGTTGTTAAAAATATTATAGCAAACATTGTGCATATTCTGTTTATCACAATTCTCTGCCCTACAATATCAAGAGATTTCTATTTCCTTGTTGGCGGGACTTTGAATATCCCAACTGCATTTCTTTCAGAAGGATATGGTTTCTTCAAAAGGGTCCACCTTCTAAGTGGTTAATTGTGGATTTAGTTATAAACACAAGTTTATGTCTACCTTTTTGACTCTGGTGTAAACTGTAACTTAGTCTACCTTTCTCTTAATTCACTGGGATTCTTGTCTTATAAGCTTTATACTTGACTTAAAATATCCCAGAAAGGTTTTGACATACCATTAAATTAACCAACCAAACCTAACTTGTAAACTTTATCTAAAGAAGACTGTAGAATAGATTGGCTTTTTTTCTTTGTAATCGGTATCACCCCAATCAAGTCAGTAAAACTGCTAAGACACAAGGAACAGGAACAGAAGCATTACTAATGAGTGGGAAGAGGAAAGAGTAATCAAGAGGACAGTAGATAGTGATAGACATTGCATTTAAATTTTTGCAGATTAAAGTTGGTTGGAATGTATGGAGTCAGAAGGGACTTCCACAAGCGAGAAATGAGAGAAAAGAAGCTGTTAGCATAGAATTTATGGTTACATCTAGCCAGCTCAATTGTATATTGTCTCAATGCCAGTCTAGTACTGCACTTAAATTCAAAAAGTATAGGTACCATAACAAAGAGCTCATCCGAACAATTACTATGAAAGTATTTATAGAAAAGGCACAGAGAAGAAACCTTATGGCAGTGGGGAAAGTGACTGAAGCTGAGCCGCCAGATCAGGACAAATAATATTGCCAATTCTTCTTTGGATTTTATCAAGGTTCTCTAGATAAATAGCAGGGACACCAAATCATATGTGGCAGCAATATCATAAACATGGACAAATGGTAGACTTATAGATATGGCTGAAACATTATGGTAAAAGAATGAATGCTTAGAATTCTTTTTCTTAGAGTTAAATTATTTTGTTATGTATATGTGGTGGTAAAGAAACGACTCAACTGATAGCAGCAGACAGGAACCGCAAGGAGGGTAATCAACAAACTAGTGTCACACGTCCAGCCTTCTCACAAGCAAAAAGCTCCGTGCCCAGAAACAAAAACGCGCCTGCTTTATAGAGCTGAGGACCGACCATAATTTGCATGCGAATGACGAGACAACAAGAATTTGCGTTAACTGTCTGAGACTGCCCGGCATAAAACATGGGCGCCACCATTTTGGTTCTTTTTATCGTTGAACAATTGGAGTTTGCATGTCGCGCAGATTCGCGGGCGTTTCCAAGGTAGGCCATTTTCACAATTTTCCCCACTCCCCCTGATCTCATGATCACAAACAGGGCAAGGAGGTGGCGATAAATGCGCCGTCGAGTCCCCCCCTCGGGGGACAACACAAGCTTCATCCTCATCGTGCTCTCATCTGTGGTTTGAGTGTCTGTAAACACTGTGTCCGCTGGGACACTGCTGATATCAGAGTCACTGCCCTGCAGGTCTAACTCCAGGCAGATCGAACGCTCACTACTATCAGACTCGGAATCACTTGCATCGCTCAGTAACGGTAGTGGTTGCATCACTGGTCGCAGGTCTTTAATGTGACGAGACACCCCATCAACTCTCAGATTGCGGGCTGATCACCTCCATAACACGTCCAGTGCCATATTTTGTCATACACTTGCCGCGTGGGTTTTTGACCCAAACAACATCTCCTTTTTTCAATCTCCCTCCGACTACTTCTAGTTCAGGCAGCGGGTTGGCTTCAATGCCTTTCACTCAGACATGATACTTGTGCAGTGCATCAGCCGGTGCTGTGGACTGCGAAACGTTATCATTCGGGGCGACATTATACCAGTAAACCGCATCCGATACTGTACAGCCCTTCCTGGCTGCGATAGTCTTGACGGTTCTGTGGTTTCGCTCTATGATGCCGTTTCCACTCGGCGAGTAGGCACATCAAAACCGCAGATACACGTCCCAATTGTCTGCAAATTTTTTAAAGTCTTTACTGGTGAATCGTTGTCGGTCAGTATTTCCATGGGTGGGCCTTGCTCCAGGAAAACATTCTCCAACAGTCAAATGATGGTGCTTGCATCTTGTCGGCGCAGTGTCCGCCATATCGCAAACCTAGAGAGACCGCAATCAATAAGCGTTAGAAAACTCTCACCATTGTAGTGAGTTATGTCCATTGCTAGTCTGCTCCAGTTGCTCTTCACACTCAGTTCTCTTTTTTCCCAGTGAACAGGTGCTGGATCGATCGACTGACAGGTTGTGCTGGCCTTCACAATGGATCTAACGCTTTCTCTGGACACTTGCGGGTCGACCATCCTGGCGAAGTACAGAGTTCGTTTCACGCCCGGATGTCCGCTTTGATGATGGGTATTGGGTATTCATCTTCCTACCACTGCACAGCTCTCGAGCGCCGGTTCTCCTCTCTTGAGCAGATCCAGCCACTTGCGCGGTACTCTGGTGAGGCGATCTGCACAGTTCTGATAGGACTGTACGAGTGTCACATCTATGGTCTCCCACCAGCGATCGCATAATGCCCAGCCGTCGCCTAACCAGCATCTCGCTTGCCAGGCGCTTGATGAATGCAACTGCCACCCTGAGCCATCCACACACGGGGAAATGTCCAACAAGTTTCCCACACAACGAAAATATGCGCCGACAGGTCAACATATCAGGGACTTCCGGAATCTGACTTCCTCGTTTCCATTGGAGGGTGCCATTCTCTTCCCAGACTTGCAAGCCAAGAACTCTTGCTCCATCTCTCAGTCGCACCGGATCCTTGCACACCAAACCGTAATCTGAAAAGTGTTGTTGTACACAAGATGCAGAGACCAGACTTTCATTAATGAAGATGTCATCAACATATGCTGATGTGGCATTTTCAATTGTGCGGTCTTGTGATGTGATGGCATCTATAATAGATTTCATAATGAGTGGCGCCACATTTAGCCCAAACCCTAGCTGCGTAAGACAGAAGCGTTGACCTTTAAAAATAACCGTTTTTGAAATGGCCACAGTGCTTCGTTGATGTGAAGCTGAAGATATGTGTTTCGCAGATCCAGAAGCGACATATTGATCCCCTGGCGCCGCCACGTTCTCAACTTATATGCGCACACTTCTGCATCGGCAGTAAAAGCATCCACAAAGTCGTTCAATTCACGGTAATCGAGTACCAGATGTACCTTCTGTTTCTGCTCCTGCATGACTGCCATCAAGGGAATCAGACCCTTTGTGGGTCCCAGTCTTTTCTGGGGGTATGGAATCAACCAGCCATTCACAATCCACTGTTGAAGCTCTTTCTCATATTTTCCTCTGATGCTGTCAGGAACTTTGTACTCTGTGACGTTGTTGTGAAGCTGAACTGGTGGATCTTTTTGGGCCCATTTCCACCTGGCGGTCCACACCCTCTCGTTGGAATTGAAGGAGACGTCAAAGGGCAGCACACACCTTTCTTCCTTTACCCAGTTCCACATTTCTGGCTGGTGTGATCATCATGCCTCCTAATGCTCAGATTGCATCGATCCCAAGCAGCAGGTCGTAACCGAGGGGCCTTTGACGTGCCATCAAAACGTTGACTTTGGCATGATTCCCGCCATCTGTGAGGATTGACACAGTCCTGACACCACAACAGGCCCGGGACACTCCGTCTATCGTCTGAATCTCAAGTTGTTGACTGCTCTATGTCAT